GTTTGCTTCATGGAAACAACGTTCTTTTTCCTAACCAATGCTATATGTTTTATTAAAACTTTTCTTCAAGCATTTTTCATCATTTGTTTGATAAAATGGCATATTTCAATTAATTGTTTAGACAGTTTAGGACACTATGTTGTCAGCATTGTAATATTATATCCCTTACCCTTTGCCAAGGCAATTCAGTTTATACTGGTAATTTTAATATTCAATAATGAGAAAGTATAATTGCACAAGCATGCAATTGTCTCACTAGGGGGCATTACTTGGCTACCATTTTTGCGGGAGTACTCCTAATTATCTTAACCAACGAAATTTTTTTGCTCCTGGTATTATTCTTTCCTCAACAATCTCCTTCATCCTTACATCCTCCATACATCCTTTTTCAAGAATTTTACTCTCTTCAATTAGGTCTGCCTGAAAAACATCGGAAGCAGCACTGTTCCCATGCAAACCAACATTATTGTTTCCGCTGATAGCATCATATAGTTTTGGCTTAGTTCCTGCATAAAGACATATAAACATGAGTATGTCCGTTGAATAGTAGCCATTCCTGAAAGTAGCTAGGGGAACATGAATTATACCTTTCAATAGGCTTAATTCTCTGGAAGGCATTTCCATTAAGAGTTTCGGGCACATGACAGTACCCTGGAAATTGAGGAAAGTGTAGTCTAGAAAGTTTAATCTCTCAAACTCTGTCATTATTGAATACCCAAATGAAGTGTTCCAAGTGTTCAGCACGCTAGGAACAGTAGGCAAAACTAGCCTCCCCACACCCAATTCCTTGAGTTTCTGAAGCAAATGTGGAAAAAAAAAACAGTGAGGACTCTGCAAACCATAAGTGTACTCTGATCTTCTGATGATATAACAAATAGATGGATCACCACCCCCTCTCACTTGTGTCAATCACCAAGTGAGTCAAACATAACTTTCCCTTGCCTATGAATTTCACATTGCATTATTCACTAATTAACCAATTATAATGCCTCCCTGGTACCAGTAATGTATCTAATTGTAAAGCTTAATAGTTAATACAGGAATAACACAAAGCTCCCAAAGGCAAACATCCATTAGTTCACCATATGTTAGGTGTGGCTGAAATACAGAGGACACATGAACAAAAATGACAAGAAAACCTACCAATTCAATATTAACATTTACACTTCGTTCAGAAAAAAGTATGAGCAAAACTTCAAAGGAGACCTGCTACCATTCCGCGGAGGCCAAATAATAACTACAATGATCAATGAACTGTTCTCCATCTCACAGAGACACATAGAAAAGTATAAATGTCTATATCAAATGAACAAGATTGGATATATACCATTTGTTAGGTTTTGAAACCTCATGCAAGAAACAAATGACATGAAGACCCAACCACCAAAGTATTTTATTTGAATCCATTAGGTTAAGCCCCTCCCACCCACCCCCGCCCTCGAGAGAAAAAGAAACTAAAGCAAAAGGAGGCCGACTCCAATCTAAGAGAATGAACAAAATAAATGAGAACTAGTGAAAAAGTGGATTCTTTGGATCATCATAAAGAACAATCTCTCCATTTTATGTTCCAACTTGGACAGTTAACATTAGATGACAGGAAGTTTAGGTTGTTCAGATGACTGATGAGGATCATGGATCACAAATCAAAAATACTAAAAGGCTTCTTAATTACATTTACATATTAGCAACAAAAATATGAGATTTCTAACACCCCCTAAAATAGGGTGGCAATAGCAAGATCCCCAAAATTATTGGCATCATCGAGGTATTCTGGTTGTTTTAGAATTTTTCTCGTTTTCCTCTCCATCTGCAGTAGATAACATTTGCCATTGCCATTTGTGGAAGATTCATGTGAACCTTGGCATTAAAATCTCGTGTTTTCTGCTGAACCCATGACAGATGGTTCACACCCCAACACACACAGAGACATAAACTTGTGGAACTGAGGCTTTCATTGGTTACATAGAGGAAGTTTTGATTGGGCAGTTAACTTATGTCCCAAACATTGGCATTTCCCAAGACATTATTTGCACTTTCAAAAATGCAAACAAAAGTAGCTCAAGACATTCTGAATTTACTAAAACAGTTATTTTCAATTACCCCACACCCCGGCCAAAGAAGTACGAACAAAAGTTTGAACCCACACCCAATCAAATATGGGAAATGTTAATTATTGCTTGCACAAGAACAAGCACACACAACACTCTTACCTTTTCAAGCTCGTTCAACAAAATGCAGCACATTCCAAGTCGGCGATATTGAAACCGTGTACCAACAAGGGGTACTTCGGCCACCCTTTCTCCATACACCCTTAAACAGAAGGAAATTTTGAAAGTGAAGCATTTTACAATACCCTAATCTGCCAAAAGAAGCAGAACAAAAATAGCTGAGCTAGAACTGCAATGTATTATACCTTACAGTAGCCATTGTAATGAGTTCATCATTTTTCTACCGAACTGCAAATTTGAAACCATTACCATAGGCTTGCAGCAAAAAAAAAACTGATGCCTGGTAACTAAGCAACATGATAATACTCTAAGGAACTATTTATGAACACAAAGGTCTAATAACACCATCAAAGCAATGAAAAACATCAGTGTGTTACTAGGAGTAGACACGACAGAAATCGCCCACTCAATGACATATGGACAAATATTTGCAGCATATATATCTGATCAAAACCAACATAATTTCTAGAAAAGTTCATCCAATCACTTAGAAAAGGAGATGGTACTCAGCACTCAGTAATCGATCACGTCTTAAGTGCATTGTATATCTGGACACCTTGTAATGCAGTAAGTAATGTTTACAGTCCATGCCATGGGGAAAAAATAGCAGACAAGATAGTGTTAGAAAAGGAGATGGTACTCAGCACTCAACAATCGACCAAGTCTTAAGTGCATTGTATATCTGGACACCTTGTAATGCGATGAGTAATGTTTACAGTCCATGCCATGGTGAACAAACAGTAGACAAGATAGTGCATGGGATCTGAAGACATAGAAAGAAGACTTGAAGGGAAGATAAAGTAAACATGGAAAGGTAGGTGCAGAAATGGAAAGAGAAAGAGTCCAAAAATAGCATAGAGATAAGAGCAATGAAAACCTTGAATGAGAAGACTAAATGTGCAAGATGTTTTTTCCCAAAAAAAAAAAAAGAGTTTTCCACCTAAGAATTTTAGTAGAAGAAAGCAGAGTGAAAAAAGCAAGTCTTCACACAAAATATGTAACATGGCCTTCTGAAGGTGTTAAGCACCCCTGTCGGATGCACAACACAGGAATATGTGCATCAGGACGTGTTCAACGTGTCTAATTGGACATGCAGTAGCGAGGATTTCTGGTAAGCGCTAACCATGGAAAATTATACATATAATTCCTCTGTCATGATGCTTTTATTGCATTGTTGGTTTCACACGTGTAGAACAACTATTCTGAATTCAGTATACAACATAAAAACTGTGACACTCCAAAATCCTTGTGTCAGTAATTACCCGATTGATCACCTATCAATTCGCGGAATACCACTGAATACCATGTAATTCGATACCACATCGTTATGTCCCATTTGTCGAGATCCATAACTTAACAAAATTTGGGCAGAGTCTCTTTTGTACGAGTAGCTCTACCCAAAATGCAACCTGTACAATATTGACCACACCGGGTCTATGCATCCATTCACAATTGTATAGTATCGAATACTACCATAATCATCATCATTACGTACATTCATTCATAAAAGAATAAATGTCTCAAAAGAGTCCCTTATAATGCCTTTTAAATATAAACAAATTTTTGTTACAAAAATTATACAAGGCCAAAAGTAATTATAAACAAGGGATTACGATGTCAAAAAAAGAGCCGCAGACCGGCTCTGTCGTCAAAGCGGGCCCATTGGCTCGCCTTCAGTGGACGCTTGTGCAATACCTAAAAAATATTTTCATAAAGGGTGAGCCAACGTTCAATAGGGTAACTCTTATAGAGAATACCTCTAAACTTAAATGCATATGAAATGTCACATACAACAATCATTTCATGCAATCATTCAAATATGTTTATTATGAACAAATGTTATAAATCATGTCATGACATGAGATGAGACTCACGAACACAATATCAACACTGAGCCCCATCCTAAGCTTCTACAACACATGCAATGTCATGCGTATGTATCCGGGCATTTCAAGCCCCGTCATTAGTGTTATGTACACTCAATGACTAATTAATTTATTTTTTGTGTCTTTGTGGGGAGATGATTTATGGTATTACACCAATGAGACACCAACCATCAATGGATTCTCAGGACATCCCACCTGCGGCTCCGTTTTGGCCGTTATACTTTTTTAAAATTTCACCGCCGAAAAGTGTATAAACCAAGTAAGCGGGTCTTGCACCCGAGAGAGAATCTAACCCTTCTTGTTATTCCCGACATGTTTATCTATTTAATTTTTTATGTGACTCAGTCGGACCTTGGTGCGATTTTTTCGAGCCCACAATCAACCACCTATGTGGTGATTGATTTCATCCCATGCACACACTCTCACTCATGTTAATGCCCATGAATGTAATGTAACACATGCATAATGACATTTCAATGTGCAATTGTCTTTGGTACCATTTACAATGTCCATTACATAAAGAATACAATATAATGATATTTTCAACATGACAACATGTTTATCAATTCTATAACACATAAGCACAAGTCCACCACAATAATTATATGCTAAATAATCATTTAACATATATATTATTCCATAATCACATAACAAGCTAATAATTTCATTAAACTTGATATGTCATTTAAAACATAAAATAATACTAATGTACAATTAACATGTTTTAAACCACTAACATTAACTTACACCAAGTTAATCATAATAGGATTTTTCTAATTACAAAGTTAATTATAAATCATATATTTGACCCACTAGTTACACTAGTCAAGACCTAACATGTGATATACACTCATAGCCTACCCATTTCATATGTCATATTTTAGGTTGAAAGTAAATCTAAATAAAAGAAATTCTACCTCTTGTAGCGTGAGCCCACGTATTGGAACTCCGAGAAAGGCCAATTTAACTTTCTAAACTTTAGGCCTAGATTATTGTCTTTGATATTCTTTTGGAGAAAAATACGATATTTGATGTAGTTGCGTAACTCTCGAGTAAAGCAACTTTAATTCTTAGCCCGAAGTAATTAAACGGCCCAATCTTCGTAGATCTAAAGAAGAAGAAAGAAGGAAAATAAAGAAAAAAAAATTATTTTCTCTCTCTCACTCACTCGGCAGCCGGCTGGAGGAAGAAAAAATGGAAGACTAAAGTCTTCCACACTTATATATATATTATAAATTTATAGTTTAAAAATTTACGTTTTTGACCCTTATATTTATAATTAATTATTATTTTACCCCTTTAATTAAGATTTTTAATAATAATAATAATAAATTTTTTGTTTCCGTGTTTTATAAAAACACCATTTTTCCTACAGAATTTCAAGACAACTATAAAAACTATGAGCATTCAGGCATGGCCCTATGTCATTTAGTGGAAAATTTGACAAACCCAATACTTTACCAAGTCCATGTAACATAGCTCCAGATGGTAAAATGAAAGAGAAATAATATCTGAGAAACTAAAATGGAAGAAACAGAAACAAAATAAAGATGGGCTACCAAGAAGAAACAGGATGGGTGCTAATATTACTTCACCTAATTTAAAATCAAAGAACAAGAAATAAACAAAGTCAACTACACAGCAGAATAAAACACGGAGTAAGCAATCAAGCTCCTGCTACATAGAAACACAATTATAGATTATGCCATGTGCAATTTAGCTGTAAGAAGACCAAAATCATGAAAGGCATCAGTACACAAAACTCAAGTTAACAATGCAGTCACGAGCCAGTAGCATAGAGACTGATAGCATAGTTGTCATATAATGGAATTCATACGTATAGGAAGAAGCCCTTTCAAATAGAGATTTTTTCTTTCAACCATCTTTCGATTGTTAATACGATATATAAGAACCACTAATATAAAGACCCTTAATCGTGAAATATCGATTGCTTGTTGAACCCAGTGAATTGCGTGAAAGTGGGATACTCCAAATGCAGGGGTCAAAAAGTTTTATAAAACATTCTTGATGGAAAAAAATGTGAATGAAAGATCCAACTGAATTGAATCGGGTCCATGAATCTAAGAAATAGTGTAAATTCTTGAGCAAAGGTTATCTTCCTTAGTCCAGAAAATGGGTAAAGAATATTGCTGGAAAATTTATTTATGCACGACTTCCAAAATTATGCTGTGATTTTGGCAAAATAAACAATGTAGTGTCCCTACACCAGTAAAGATCTTTGAGAAATCTCACCATCTACTAAAAATTACGTCTTCAACAAGATTCCGCCTGGTGCGAGGTTCCTTTAAAGGCTCAAAACGCTCGTGCATCACACCAAGAGCAACATTTAATTTGCTGCTGTTCTCCATTGAGGCCCCAATATTAGAGGCATCATATAATCACCAAAATCAGATCTCCCATATTTCATCAAAGTCCAAGTTAGGTTTTCTAACCCCAATGCAACTGGTTTACCCAACAAAAGCCTGTGCAGGTCCAAAAATATCTGCAAACATGGTACACGCATATAAAAAACCACACACAATATTGTGTCAAGAGGTACATCTGAAAGCTTATGCAACAAAATTAGATGGATTAATGTTATGTTTCTCACAATATAACACTACTACACATCACTTGCAAGAAAAATCAGACAAACATATATTCGGACATGCATATTTGACATTTCTTGAACTTTACAGAAAGTAAAACTTGCCAAAAACTTGCATTTGACAGGAATAGTCAGTCTTCAAGAATTTTACTGAAGGATATATACCAAAGACTAAAATTGGATATGAATCTTCAACTATTATCACGTTTGCTATCCCTAAAGGTTATGTCAATCACCTAAATCACATAGATGATAGGTACCTTACGATCCTGGTTCCCAAGAAAGAACCCGCAATAATAACATACACCCATATCAAAGAAATTTCACCTTACCTGAAAGCTTCGGTTCCTCACAACTAAAAATGCTATAGAGGCATGAAAGAGAGGAAAGAAGCACCCTTTTCATTTTAGGAAGAGTTAAGTCCATATCCATTCATAAAAACACATGACTCGTGCAAGTCAAAAAGGTTGTCAAAATGGTTATGATGTTTGAATGGGATGAAGATTAGAAGTCATGCTTCTGAAGGAACACCTTGAGTTTTGCAATATGCCAATAACAGCAAAAGTCAGTACCTTTGAAATTTTAACGTCATAATGTTACTAAAGAACGAAAGGCTCATCTGAGATACCTGTTCACATCTTTCGTTACAGAACCAATTTTCCTTTGGAAAACAATCCAGGTTTGCAAGACCTTTTGTCCTTAGGCAGCCAATGTGATCCGCATTAAGTTGACCATACATTAGGAACTTATCAATGGAAATGCAGATGTATTTGTATATTTATTAGATGACATGCATGTGTGCATAAAATAAGATAGCAATAAACAGATTCAGAAGACAAACAATGATGCTCACACTGATCACAATTGAGAGCACTATTATCAGTAAATTGCCCAATGTCTTTGGTGAATCTCCTCTGCCCACAAATGCCACAACAGCATGAGGGGCAGAACCAGTCGCCCACTGGAACATCCTAAATAAGGAACAAAAAGCAGTTAGAAAAAGGATCATAGGCTATCATGACAACTACATTGAAAAAGGGGGAATTAAAAAAGAAACGAAGTATGAAACAAAGTTTGTCATGCAAACAAAAAAGAACCAGCCTTCAAACCAAGGCAAATATGAAATGAAGATCGACACTGATCACACAAAACTAATTCACCACCATAGTGACAAACCGAATATATATTATCATTTGTGCTGTGATGCTGATAACCCTTCATCTCACGTGGTCTTGTCCTTCCGCGTCTCATGCTATTGTTACATTTCAATTGAACTTGGCACTCCAGGAGAGGCCTGCCATCCCCAAAAAAAATATTCGCTGAAGGCCTGTGATTGGTGCTGCCAGCATGAGCTTCAAAGTTACTGAGAGTAAAAACTATTTGGCAACAATTGCACGTGATCCCATCACGAGTAATTAGCCCTTCTGCCATCGGATGACCATCCTTTCTGGCACAGTAATATACTTTCAATTCAGGCAAAACAACGTTATTGTCTATTAACCAAGACAAGACAATTCTATGGGTGTGGTGTGAGGAATACGAAACCACTTAACTTTCCGCGCTATTTTGCTTGATCGCAGCACACATTTGCAGTAGAAGTATCAAGATAAATCTTTAAATACTTTAACTAGCAATGCTGCCATTGTGCTAGAGTTAAATAGTTCTCTAAGAATTACTAGCTTCAACCTACCTACTATTGATCATACATTATCCGAGGCATAGCCGTTCTTGATAAAATCTCTAACATTCAATGATATGGGAATGGGCGACCGAAGCCCTGATGAATGGCGGTCGTAACCATAACAGTCCTAATTTCTTATCTGGTAAGTTTTTGTACCAATTTGGGCACTGTCACAAAGAGATGCTCGATAAAATAAACATGTTTGTGAATATGAGAATTACCTACAACATAAAAAAAATCCTATGAAGTTATACTGTTTCATTTATAGTTGTTATTATCGTATGAAACGTGATACGTTTCGATTCATGAAGAAAATTATATATATTACTTAAGTGTATCAGTTTGCATCATATTGTATGGTACATAATACAATACGCCCGATACAAGACGATACGTATGAGTCGTCCGATACAATACAAAGGCGAAGGGGAAGTGTTATTTTTCTGGATGAGGATCAGGTGGTACTATTTTTGTATATTGATTTTTTTAGCCTAATTTGACTCAAAACACTCCTCGAATCCCAGGTATCTCTTTCACTCTATTTCAACGAATTCCTCCCAAACTATCTTCTCTATCATTATTCACTGTATTACCAATTCCATTGGGGCTCCTGTGTCTGTCCGCTACAATATATTTCATTAAGGAGGTTTTTGTTTTTCATTCCTACCTATGGATGTAGGACTAAGATCAAGAATGCGTTTATAATAGGAGTTTTAATTATTTTACGGATTAATAGATTTAACCTAATTTGTTATAATCCAACTCATTATAACCCATTTATTAAACAGGTCAAAAATGAAATGAATTTATTTTGAAACCAATCCATCTTGAATGAGATGAGATATGACCCGAGTTGCACCAAATGGGACAGAGGTGCCCCCAAACAACCTGTTACACACCCATTTATCCATGTCATTAAATGCATTTTATAAGATGTCACTCTTTTCCATTGATTTTAAAGAGCAGGAATTTAGAAAAAATATATCTCCAACATGAAAGCAAAATCCATTTAGGTGTAAAATAGAGTCCAATATACATCTTTACTAGTCACCAGTATAGCGCTTGTTTATCCGCACGTGAAATTTGTCTTATAGTCAATCATCATCTTCCTTTTCTTTCTCCTTAGTCTTTTTAAGCAGATTTGCTAGCTTATTAGCTTCTTTTCGCATCAACAAGTTCTCTTCTTCAACTCTTTCTATACAACTCATCAAATGAAGCTCCTTCTGTTCCCACTCAATCTTTGAACTTTCATACTTCTCATTTGTGGCTTTCAAAAGTAACTTCAGATCTTCAATTTGGGTTTTATACTTTTCATGCTCGGCTTGAACAGTGGCAGCTGTCTCAAGATTCTGAAAAATCATAATCGAAGTCAATTTCAATTTCGGATTTGTATGTATGTAAAACAACAAAAAACAAGAAGACAATCTTTTCTTCAAGAAAAAAAGAAAGAAAAAAACAATTCTAGAACATAATGGAAAATTTGTAGGAACTTACATCAGGTATGGTGCAAGTGTGGCTTCTCGATCCAGAAGAAGATTTGTGCTTTCCAATGGCCCCTCTTCTTACTTGTAAAAAAATATACACATGCAATGCAAAAGTAAAAACACCAACCTTACTCTATGGCCAAAATGGAAATGGCATTAAGTTTGAATAAACAAGCACAGACAATGCATACTATCAATATTACAAATAAATATTTTAATAAGTGTCAGACAAATGACTACAGTAAAATTTATAAAAATAAATATTTTAACAAGTGTAGGGCAAATGACTACGTTAAATTTTATAATAATAATACAAGGAGGAAGATAGTCAATCGAACACAGACACTCCAGTTGTGAAAACAAACCAAACCAAACTAAGCCTTGTATCCCAATTATTTAGAGTCGGCTATATGAGTCTGCCTTCCCCACTCATTTTGATCATGAGATATATGTTCATTTAAGTTAAATATTTGCATATATTTTCTTATTATTTTGTCCAATATTAATTTAAGTATATCCCTATTTCTGGTACCATTAAGAGAAACTCTATCACCTTTTTAAATTGGTACTTCTATCGGCCTCCATTGAATATGATCAAACCAACTTAATCTATTCTCTCTTTAACTTATCCTCAATTAGAATTACTCATACTATTTCTCTAATACGGTCAATTTGTATTCTATCCTTCCTAGTTTTTCCACACATCCACCTTAGCATTTTCATTTCCGCTACACTCATTTTTGTCCCTATGTTATTTCCTAATTGCCAAACATTCCGTCTCATACAACATTGTTGTCCTTATAGCTGTTCGGTAAAACTTACCTTTTAATTTTATTGATATAGTGGTGAAAACAATATAATATGTAAAATCAAACAAATATTCACCTTGATGTTGCGGTTTTTCCACTCAAACATAGCATCTAAAAGAATTGTATAGTCATCATTTTCAATAAGCTCCCAATTATAATTATGTGCAGGCAAGAGTTCCTTCAATATTGCTTTTACAGTCATATGATGGAAGCCATATTTCTTCATCGCATGGCAGGCTCTGCGAATTTCTGCCCTTGGCTCCATCATTCGTATGTTGAATATCTGCAGACAAATAAACAACATCAATGAAAATGAAAAAGACTACTAATCACAATGACAGAAGTATATTCTAAAAATGATATATGCAGCAATAAAAAGATAAATGATGATGCATTTGGTATCTTATAGACATAGACCCGGTGCAATATCAATCCATCCATTGGCAAAAGGAGAAAATGTGAAATAGCAGGTCAAGACAATATGAACATAATCAAATTCTACCAAAACTAGCATATAGTCTTTGATTGGATTCTGCTTCTAAAATGTCCATGTCACACATATGGAACTCCACATGTAACTAACTGTTCAAGGCATTCAAGCCATTGTCAAAATGTAAAGAAAGACCAAATTAGCAAAGTCACATTCAATGAAATAACAAATCATAATGTTAAGCCTTAGACAAATAGTAGAGGGAAAAATACAACCATTTTTTGTCTTTCACCACATAAAAACAAAATCAAGGCCCAAACTTCAACATGGAGAAAGCAGATTTAATAAAAAATAGTAATACCTAGATAAATCCAATATGCAATGAATAAACCCCAAGTTACATGTTTGCTGTCTTGGCTAAAAGGATGATTTTGTTTCAATACTACCTCATGACCAAGAAAAAAAATGGAAAATAGAAAATGCCAAAAACAAGAGGAAAAATAAAATGTTTTATATGATCCTAAAACAAAACCTTTGTTGAATCACACAGTAGATGACCAAAGAAAAGAGAAAGATGAAGAAAGTGCAGATTAAAAGAGGTTATTGAACCAAATAAAATAAACAGATAAACAAATATGGTAAAAGAAATTCAACTTTGAGACCTTAACGGTCAAAAACAACAACCCCAAGCTCCAGAAAACAAATGTTAAAACCCAAATGTGAGATTCGTTTTTTTTTTCCCAGATTAGAGAGAGAGAGAGAGAGAGAGAGAGAGAGAGAGATACCTGATCCTGATGTGTGTTGTGGCAGCGATGATGGGGATTGGGTAGTGGGTGGAGCGTTTTCAGTGGGTCTACTCTCTCTCTCTCTTCTTTTAGTTGGATGTGGTTGGATGAGCAATGGTTGTGTGTGCTTTATTGAGAGTTGGATAGGCGGTGGTTGAGAATTTTGCAGGGGTCGTCGACGAGGGTTTCGCAGAGGCTTTACCGAGGAGGTTTTGTGGAGGCATTACAGAGGAGGTGTCCGCGTTTTGGAGAGAGGAAGAGAGAGGATTTCGCTATTGCTGGTGGAGGGTTTCGTAGAGACTTCACAGTGGATTCATGTTGAGAGGGAGAAACATGGATGGGTGTGAGTGAGGGGTTTGTTATGTTTTAGGGCTTTACAGAGACAAAGGCAAGACAGCTGATAGAGTTTTGACTCAGAAAGTGCACAACTTGGTATTGGTGTGTGCAGTGTTCAAAACGCTGTCGTATAATGTCAAGGCCAAAAGGTTAGAGTGTCTTTATGGCCAGCCCAAGATCTGTTTCTATTTGGGTTCTCACGGCCCACAGGGGCATTATGTCAATGCCTCTAAGTTGACGGAGTTCTTGGCTTAAATGAGTTAACGTGTTTAATAGTCGTTAAAAATGGGAATTTTTAGAGGCAGGTCATTCTTTGGAGATTTTTTTTGGTCCATTCAAAAATAAATTAGGACTATAACGACACTTTCTATTAAATTGTCTAAACTAACCTTAACTCCCATTTTAACAAACTGAATTTTTGGAAATTGAGGAAGACCCTTTCAAATACGAAAGTTAATACTGATTTAAAATTTGAAATATAAATCTCATAAAAATAGATTTGAAAACAAAATTTCTAAGTCATGTCATATTAAAACTCTTTCTCTCTCACATATCTATTATATAAGGTGGAATTATTTCCACTCCACAAATCTATATTCCTAACTCATTAAACTCTAATCATAAAACACTAAGTCCACTATTTTTATATTCATCCTATTAGTAACTAAATTCACCTCATTCAATACTCACCTCACTAATTACTAAATTTATCTCAATCTTCACGTTTAAGTTTTTTTTTGTACATCGATTATCTTACGCAGTATAGCACCCAGATCCCATCACATACAAATTAGAGCGCTAAGTGACCTCAAATAAATAAATTGAAATTTCATAACTCAAATTTATCTTCCAAACAAACATTTTATACAAACTTGCTGAGGTTCAATGTATAAATAGTAATACTATTTGGACTTAAAAATTTAACTTAATTTGTTGACATAATGATGTAGTTTTGTAAGAATCAGTGAATCAACATCAAATTCTAATGTTTAATGAGATTTACAGTGAAACTAATTGTCACAGTAAATTATGTCAGTAAATTAGATCCCAATAGAATTGCTCATGTATAAAATGATACAACTTTAGGAAATCAATTCCTTAGTTAACAATCCATACGCCTTTGAACTACAAGTTCATCTTTTTACTCCTCCAATTTTCATCACTTTCTAATTCAATTTGCAATTGCGAGGGTGAGTTTGGGAGGCCTAGTTAGTAATTTAAAATACAATATATGGAATCAAAAGAATGATAATCCAACAATTAACCGCAGAAGTATCATTTATCACAATAAAACTTTATAAGTGATTCAAAAACAAATTGTTCAATCTTTAGACTAACCCATGACTTCATTACCGATCCGTTCCACCAACACGCTAGGTGTCATTCGATGCATTTTCACTGTCTCACTCGCCCCTCAGGCCACAATCACATCTCACAACCATAAACATGACATTGAGTGCACCTAACACGAGTACCGATAAGTACCCAAGCAATTCACCCTACAAAAATATTTCTAGTATATCAAATTCATATAATTTCAAAAGAACAACAATATGATACGATATTTGGAATGGAATTGATATAACATGGCACACAAAATTTTTCTTTCATCACCAAAACACATTTAAGCAATGACATAAAATCATCCCACATATTTTCAAAATTCACATGAATAACAATTCACAATTGAAAAATAGTTAATTCCAACCCCAAACTATTCACCTTGGTTCCCTAATTCCAATTCCAAACCCTTTGTCACAATCTCAATGTAATTACCACTTAATCAAAAATAAAATATAACGATCAATCCCTATTTCGAATTTCGTAATTTCTTGATTCTACATTTAATTTTTGTATTTTCTATCCTTTGACATATACTTTTATATATCACTTATATAGAAATAACCTTTTAAATATAATATAATAGGGTATGGAAGTAACCTGGACAGTTTAAAAAAAAAAGTTTCTAAAATTATGGGGTTAAATTATAATTTTTGAAGATTTTAAGGTCAAAGTGTAATTTCTTTGAAAAAACAAATTTTATATTTTAAGGATTGTTATAAAACTTTTTAGAATTCTATTCTTCTAACTTACCAAGTAAAAAGATGGTAAAAATTAAATTTATAGTAGTATAAGGATCAAAATAAAGTTCTTTAAAACCAAATGGGAGATTTATGTAATTTTAAAGGTTTCCGCAACTTTAAATTTATAATATTTTTGGACCCTAAAGTATGTATTTTTTATCAGTTTAATTTTTATTGTATTAATTTTATCAATTTGATCTCTAAAATATTTAATTTGTGTCATTTTAGGTCGTATATAGATAGACTGTTAAATTTTTAATAGATTGATCGTGTGTTGGGCATACAATGTCATTAAAAAAATGGCACCTGCCAGGTATGTTTCTCGTATATATCTGGGAAGTTTCATTTGGAGCACCTATTTTGTTTTTGTATTCTTACACATTTTTGTTTGGTTGTCATTTGTCAATCTGCTAGGTACCGTTATGATATGTCAGTTGAAGAAGCGGCAGAGTTCGCTAGATGAGCTATTTGTCATGCAACATTCCGAGATGGAGCCAGTGGTGGAGTTGCTAGTGGTCTGCCCTCCCTCATCTCTCGTGTTGTGTGTTTGTGTGCGCGTGCGTGCCTCTATGATTGATTTGCACATGACTTTGGATTTGTCATTAGTTTATCACGTGGGACCGAAAGGATGGAAGAAACTATCAGGTGATGACATTGGAGAACTTCACTACATGTATTATCCAGTTGAACCAACAATAGTGGAACAGGAAATGACTGAATTGTCTGTGGCCTGAGAATCACAAAGGTATATTTGTTGTAATGTTTTTCTTAAATACATGGAATCGTTTCCATCCTTAATTTCTAGACACACTCGAATTTAACCTGGTTTTGCTGCTAATGGGATACTTCTGATAAGGGAATAGATCACCGACATGTGTCTTCGGCACCGAGATAGGTTTTTTTTTCTGAAAAAGACACATGTCCTCGGCATCAAGGGCATATCTTTGCTCTAATGAAAACACATATCTTCGGCTATAAAGGCACCTGTTGCTCTACCACAAGCACGTCTGCTCAGCGCCAAGGTGCCCCCGTTTTATGACAGATATGTGTTCTCGGCTCCGAGGGTACCTCCACTTCGGGGCAATCACGTGTCCTCGGCTCCAAATGTATTTACTGAAACTCTGATTTTGTCATGTGTCTTTGATTTTTGGAAAAGCTAATTGATTGACAACTGATCAGCCTAAACTAGACCAGGGATCAAGAGGGTGCTCTACACAACAAGGTCAAAATAGTAGAACCAACAAGACACTCAACCAAGCAGAGTTAGACACGTGACATAAAGTCCAAAATGAGGGGTAAATAGACAAAAATACCCTTGTTGACATACAACAATCTCAAGCAAACATTTAATGAATTCTCAGCGATAGGACATCCACAGTAACTTGGGAAGCCGACAATATGGAGCATTAAATGCTCTGGGGTCCGAGCATTTAAAGTCTCTATATCAAAGAAAGAGCATTAAATACACGGGAGATGGGACAGTTCATAACGGGGTCTTTCACATGCAAAGTAGGAGGCGCACTACCCCATGTCTGGGTACTACTTACTGACTAGACTATTAGTAATGATAGGTCTTTAGAGGTATAAATAGCTCCCAAAAATGAAATGCCCAAGTATGCAAAATCAATCCCCAAGAACAATGCAGTGCTTTCTTCTTCTCATCTCTCAAAGAACTAACTTGATCGTCAGAGGAGATATGTCGAAAAATACTCCGGCACCCTTCTAACCCGTTTTTTGTGTGTTAGGAACTGCCTACGACCCATCAGAGTCGATCGAGCTGTCCTTAGAATAATTCATCATCACTCCTTAGACCCCTTTGGCTATTTTGGATTTTTCCTTTATCCCGGGATCACCGACTTTCAAGATGAACACGAGTTCACCAAGGGAGAGATTTGTCCTTTCATCTATTATGCGAAAATTATCGCGCACAGCTGCTAGCATTTTGTGTCTGGCTATGAAGTTTTTAACTGTGTTGCTTGATAAATTAGTTTTCCATGTTTCTAATGTTCCCTTTCTCTTGTGTAGGAGTTTTTGACCAGGCTCCAAGCAACTTTCTAACCCCCTCTTTTCCCTCTTCTAGAGAATTGTCGAGTTCATCTCACATATAACACCATGTCAATCATTTTAATTTTATTTTGGTACAGAGGAAAAGTAAGAGGGGTTATCTAAACCCCTAGCAAAAGAAATACAAGAAAGGTCATTCAAAAGGTAATTTCCTAACACAGGCGGGGGATTTCAAAAAATACAAAAGAATCTTGTTGTTGCCCTCCCAGGCTTGCCATCTTGTCAACGCAGAAGTTTCCTTCTCTCGGTGTATGAATGATGGGAGTATTAGTTAGTCCCATTAAGTTCTTGCAATTGGCAATAATGTTCCTTTCGGGGTGGAGCTCCTCCAACCTAGTAGTGATTAGCTTGAGGGCTTCCAATGAATTAGTCTCCAAGATGACCTTTTTGATCTTCTGTGTATGTATGATCCTGAAACCTTAAAAAATAGGCCTCAATTCAGCGTACAGGCTGGTAGAGTCTTTCATCTTGCCATAAAAGCCAAGTTGCCACCCTCTTTGATCATTCATTAGCAGGCCTCCTATCGTGGCAGGGCCAGGATTACCCTTAGAGCTTCCATCCGCATATATCTTCATCCATCCTGCAGGAGGAAAATATCATCCAATAAGATTATGGTAGTTTGGGCTCCCCTGGGTTTGGGGATCATTAAAAGCATCCCAAGATTCCTGAGCCATTCTCCAAGCTATCTTGGCAATGGCTTGGGGGGATTAAATGTGTTCCCCAAGTATTCTTGATTCTTGTCTTTCCAAATATTCCATAACAGAGAGGCAAAAAGAATAGGTCATTTAACTCCTCTCCAAAGAACATCCTTCCTTGTTTTATAATTTTCAATGAGCCAATTATAAAGGTCCAAGGATTGATGTTGTTGGAGATCATTTCTATTGAGGAAAGAATTCCAAACCAATACAGCTTTCGGGTAGTCCCTCAGGATATGGAATGTATTATCATTTCAAGCCTTGCATCTTTCGCAAGTAGGATTATCAGTAAGGTTTAAGGTTTCTAGTCAACCTCAGGGAATTGGACAGAAGTCTGTCGCTTTGGACCAACCACAGAAAATGTTCAAGTCTCCGTGGGACCCCAAGTTTCCAAAATCACTTCCAATTTAGACACTGTTGTTGACTAGGAGCAGGTTTAGTAATCTAGTTATAAGCAGATTTGATTAGATATCAATCATTATAATGCAAAAAGAAGATAAGACCAGGAACATAACACAAACAGCCCAAGGACTTGGCCACACTTGGAAGTACGATCACAACGTATTTATTCCATGTACACATGACACTTTTTCTTTTCAAATTAATAATTACATTTTAGGAACCTCTAGGCGGCATTCAAAGTGTTCCCGACGTCGATTACAAATCGGTATTTGACATCACCTTTTGCAAGACGCTTCATGGCAGTGTTAACATAGTCCATTGTAATAACTTCAATGTCTGCTGTTATGTTGTGATTTGCTGCAAAATTGATCATCTCTTGTGTCTCCTTCAAGTTCCCAATATAACTACCGGCGACTATCTTTCTCCCTAAAAGCAAAGGAAAGACTGGCAACTCGAGCGGCTTGTCTGGTAACCCGAGTAAGACCAATATTGAATGAGACTTCAAGAGTCCAATCAATGGTTGAAGAGGGTGAATTGCAGGGATGGTGTCAATGATGCCATCCATTGTGCCCATTGCAGCCTTCATCTGCTCTTGGTCACGACTGAACAAGAAAGAATCTGCACCTAGATGATCAATCGCATCGTTCTTCTTATGAGAAGAGGTACTGATCACCGTCACTTTTGCCCCAAAAGCCTTCGCAAACTTTACAGCTACATGGCCTAACCCTCCCAGTCCCACTACACCAACATGAATACCAGGCTTATCGAGTCCAAAATATTTCAAAGGGCTGTAAACAGTAATACCCGCACATAGGAGAGGGGCACTAGCAGCAAGAGGGAGGCTATCAGGCATGAGAACAACAAAATGTTCATCAGCAACCATGGTATCAGAAAAACCTCCATATGTGATAGTTCCATCATAGTAGGTGGAATTGTAGGTTAGTACAAGTCTAGGACAATAATTCTCAAGATTGTCAGCACAGTTGTCACACGAGTGACATGCATCAACCAAGCAACCTACACCAACTTTGTCTCCAACCATGAACTTTTGTACATTGGAACCCACCTCTGTCACAACCCCCACAATTTCGTGCCCAGGGACAAGAGGATACTGGGACACTCCTAATTCGTTTTTGATGAAGTGAAGGTCAGAATGACAGATCCCACTATATAACACTTTGAACCTCACATCTTCATCACCTATTGCCCTTCTTGAGAACTTGAATGGAAAGAGGACACCGGAATGATCTCTGGCTGCCCATCCAAAGGCTTTCATAGGGTGTTCATCCCTTTTGCTAAGCTCCTCTTCGATATTCGTTGTCGGGCTTCTATTATAACCCATGAGTATCATGATTTTATCCCATATGCACTTCGAAATTTCAAGCAAATGTTGAATAAAGTTCATTGCCACTGCACAGACGATTCAAGATAAGACATCAATTGTGTATGATACTAGGTTTTTTTCAAGTCTGTTACAATGTTTTTTGTTGGGAATGGTGGGTGGCTCATTTTTATCCAACCATGTAAATCTAGTTTTTGATTATTCACCGCATCGTAGGGTCCGCACAACCAATTGACTCTGTTGTCAATTACTAATGTTCTATCCCTAGTTTCATACAACCTATTTGTTTTCAATCCATTTGCCTTCGGCTAAGTTTTGAAAATAAAAAAGCTTAAAAGATTTAGAATGTTAGACCATAGAGCCGAAAAATTTTTAAAATAGACTTTTTGATCAAAACACGTGTATATTTCATGTCGGGAGAGTCCCCTAGTTCAAATCCGTCAAATGTGTTGAGGAATAAACATATTTAGTGATGATGTGTCGACGAATAAATAAAAATCAAGAGTAAAAAATCTAAAGGCAAAACATTAATACCTGTATATGTAAATATTCTCCTTGTTTCAAGTTGAAGAACCCCTTGTCACCGGATGTGGAAGAAGACTTCAGTGGCTGCATTGATCACATAAAGTTAAGAGGTTATAATTTAATAACTTGATTCAACCAAATGAACAATGTCAGCAGACAAGCTAACATACAAAAAGGTATTGAAATTGTTACCAAATTATTGCAATGCCGTGCCAGAGTCGCTATATGAGTTGCACCTCAGGTCTCTAATTCATCTATATATATTACAACCCAAAGCATAGAAGATGCTTTTCTTGCACATACACAAGCAGGGAAGAAGAAAGAGCGATGGTAATTTGAAGGAAACAAGATTCTGTAACATAAATGAAAGGAAGGGTAAAGTATTTTTGACATAAAAGTTTAACAGGAAAATGACGACTCTTGTTCACCTACTTCTGGGGTGAACTTTTTGGTTTTGGGTCCATGGTGCATGATTTCGTGAGTTTTGAGTTACATTTTTTCCACACGTGAGATGAGATTGTGTACGCGTAATTCTCCCAAAATTTTTACAATGATGTGTGATTGTGCATTGTATTATTTTTGCTATACATATTTTTAACCAACGATCAACTGTAAACATAAATTAGAGTTGCAGATTAACCAACTTATTAAGGAACAGTCAAGATTAAAGCCCGTTTAAGTTTGTTTATTTGTGAAACAAATCGAAATCAAGTTCAATTTTACAACTTGTCTAATTAATGAGTTGAGCTTAAACAACGACTTTCTTTGCTTTGTTTAGTTCATTTATAAGTATATATAAACATAATATGATATCGATAAATATGTCCTAAATAAAGATAAATAATTATATATAGATATGTGTGTATACTTATTATAAACATATAAAAATGAGCTAGACTTACTTTTGAACACGTGCCATAATTCAAGCTTAAGCTTACCCCAAGTTTGAGCTTAGAAAGAACAAATTAGTCAAAGTTTAATAAGATGTTTAAAATTTTTTAGAATCTTAAGTCAAATTCAAAAATTCTTGAAGAACAAAATAATCAAGCCCAAACAATTTATATTGGGCTAGATATGATCCATTTGCAGTCCTATGAAAAACAAGAAAAAGCATTTGGATCTAAAAATATCCTTAATAGGTTTTTTATTTTCACTCAATTCTCTATTTTAAAATATTAATCACTAAAAATTTATAGTCAATAGACTCTCTACTTAAACTAGTTAAAATAAAGTGTCAAATTTAACTCTCTACGTTTGAAAAATCAAACTCACTTTCCACTCTATAATTAATAAATGAACAGAGGACCCATGTAAGTTTTACTAAATGCTTTGACTATAGAGACTATTTTCATACTAGAACGGAGCCCCTATTCGAATTGCTAAAAATATGGGAAAATTGGAAGGGAGTACACCAAGTTGGACTTAATTGTAAAAAAATATATAGAAAAAAATATTGGATAATTAAATTCTTACTTTTAATACTTATTTGTATCTAACTACATTATTTGAATTTTATTGATTTTTTTGTAACATTTTTGTCCTCCATTGATTCATATATATTTTCTTTAGAAAGTGGTACATTAAACATCTCTTAATTTTATGGGAGAACTTTAATATTCCATATTTCTATGTCCTCCCTTGATTCATGAGTATTTTTTTTTGAAAAGTAATTTTGTTTTCAAATTATATTTAATGTACTTTGATTCATGCGTTTTTTTTTTTTTTGAAAAAAAGTTTTGTTTTCAAATTATATTAATATCCAAACAGTGTAATAGTATAACAAACTCTTTAAACAAAATATTGTTCTATTACATTTTGTCAAACATATATTTTCATATAATTTCATTCAAAATAGTTCGTCTTTGTTTTGAATTTGTTATCACATGCACAAAACTACTGAATACTGTTTTTGTTACAGTGTATTTGTTGCTCCTTTCGTTCCTAAATATCTGTTGTTTTACACAATTTTTTTTGTTCCATAATATCTGTCGTATAATGAAACCAAAGCATAATTAATATTTTTTCTTCCAAATTTACTCTTAACTTTTCAATGCATTAGATTTGGTGGAGGGTAAATGTCTTTCATATTCCTTTCCTTCCTAATACGAATTGAATAAGAGTATTTTAGTCTTATGTAATTATTTTTTACTCATATTAGAGTTATTTAATAACTTCCTTAATCTATATGCAAAAACCTTAAATGATAGATATTTAGGAACGGAGAGAGTATATTGTTTTTGTTATGGTATTATGGAGTTCGAATATTAACAAATTTTGAAATTCAAACAAGTGATATATTCTAAAATAAACGAAATATTAAAATTCTCCTATAAAATTAGTAGTAGTAAATATTTAATGCATAAATATAATTTGAAAATAAAATCACTTTCCAAAAAAAAAAATACTTATGAATCAATGTGCATTAAAAATAAGAGATTTTGAATTAAATGACCATAAATTTCAGAACTTAATAAATGTCTTGTTAAAGTTTTTAGGAAATACTTCCTCTGTTTCTAAATATCTATCGTTTAAGGTTTTTGCACAGGAATTAAGAAAATTATTAAATAGTTCTAATATGAGTAAAAAATAATTGCACAAAACTAAAATACTCTTATTCAATACATATTGAGAAGGAAAGGAATATAAAAGACACTTAGTCTACACTTAATCTATTAAACACTTATTGGAAAACATAGATAAGGGTAAATTTGAAAAAAAAATATTAATTATGTTTTAATTTTATTAAACGACTGATATTGTGGAACAAAAAAAATTGTGTAAAACGACATATATTTAAAAACAGATAGAGTAAAATTTTATAAAATGGGCATTTAAGTCTTTTTATCTCAAATGTGTACTTTTTTTTAAATATTTTATTTTATATATTTTTTTATAATTATGTGTAATTTGATATATGACTTTCAAATAACCCTAAAAATATTTAATAGTGACCTGACCTTGGTTCAGCCCATCTCGTTGAAAAGGGCCATCGAACATCATTGGACTGGCCCAAAAGTTTGAAGGAGACCGTGAAGGGAATCTAACTATGGGGAAGCAAAGCTGAAGGAGACATGTCCTGACAGACGTTTAAAAGTTGACACTCTTCTCCGCCATAACTAGTTCTCCCAACGAAGCCACAAGATTCTGGATGTCTTCAGCGACACTCACTTCGCACATACACACATCGATTAAATTCGCTAATTGGAAAAAAAATTCATAAACAATTCGCGAAAACTTCCCACCGGTTGAATCAGGTACTCCCTCCTCTCTATTTGATGCATTATTATGGTATGAATGATTCCCTGGTTGCAGTGAGTTAATGTATTTAGAAATCCTTTATTTCTATGAATTTTAGTGTTGAGCTATCTATCTAGCCCTTGGAGGCATTGGAGGTGTTTTTCGGAATTGGATTGCTATAGGAATTATGAGTGTAATTAGCTAGGGACAAGCGAAGTCAGAATTGAGCAACGGTGATACTGAATTTTTGTGGTTCGATATTGATTCTTTGGAATTTTCGCAATTTTTTGAAAACTAAAAGAGAGAGAGAGAAAGAGGACAACCTTGTGATAAAAATAAAAAAAAATTGTGCACTCTGATGCATAGGTTTAGTAATATTCTATTGAACGCATTTGATTTTGTCTCTATCTTTGTGTTATGCTAGTTTTGAGGTGATTGGGTTAGAATGAGTCCCCTGTGCTTTTACTTGTGAGTAAATATTTTTTATTCAACACTTGCATTCTTATTTTGTTTGGGTTGATTCGCTTGAGGTGTAGGTAGAACATTTTTTTTATTTTTTAATCGACTACATAGATCATATGTCGCCGTTGTATTTCATTGATGGTCATATTTTGTGTCATACCATAAATTATCATATCTTTCTTTATTATTTTATTCAAAGTTAATTTTGATTTTCCTCTCCCTCTACGTTGACCATCAACAACTATCACATCACTCTTTCTTCGTAATAGGTTGTCTACAAATATGTTCAAATTAACTAAGTTAGTTCTTCCTTAATATATCTACTATATATGCTACATCTACTTTTTGACAAATATAAGTGACAACTCCTAATAGGGACACTAGTGTTTTTTCTTCAAGGGTTGAAATCATGCAGTGTATTTATCTAACTCCTTGGTTTTGTAGGCTTATCAACAGAGTGGATTTTGGGTTTGGACTGATCCAAATTCAAATCCTATTTAAAAGATTTGATTAAATCCAAATATATATTGAACGAATTTAATTTTCACAATTCATATAAAAATATGCTAAATATTTGTATTCATGCTAAACTACCTTGTGAATGAAAGGGCAAATGAGAAAGGAGTTTGGCTTATCTTCATTCATTAGACCTCCGTTAATTATCACCAATATGACCATGTTAGGTTTGTTGATACCATTAAGTAGTTTTACATATTATTTGATGGTATTAATTGAGGATGATCTGATATGTTTTAATATTCATAATATTTGTAACGGTGCGATTACGATATCGAATAAGGTATGGTACAAAGATTACAACAAAATAAAGATTATTTATAATTCATTTGAGTTAAATTACTAATGAATGTAGTCAAATGATCGACAAAAAATGGTTTGAATCAATCCTGAAATGATAGGACTGATCCTAAAAATATTAGAAACAATTCAAAATGTTATGATTGACCGATGTCTCTTAGGAAAAGCCCCCTTAGAGTCAGTCCTAGCAATTGAAAGAGGAAAGACCGACTGAAAGAGATTGGACAGATGACTGTGTTACTAGATGGAGCTGCTTTGCTAGTCTGGTCCAAAGTTGAATTTACTTCACAGATTTTCTTTATGAAATCAAAGAGTTTTTATTTTACCTCTTTCTATTAAGTCTGTGAATATGCACCTGTTTTCTGGAGAGGGCTATATGATATTTGGAAGATATCATGCATGTTACAACTTACAGCAAGATACTCAAATGCTCTTTCTGTTTTTCACAAATTATACTCAATACTACGCCATACTAACCTAAAAAGAAAGAAGAAAAAAAGTTTTTGGACAATGTTATACATTCATACTAAACGAATAATGCTATATTTAGACTTAATTTGTCAACCTAATTCATTCCAGTTATTGGATTGACAGTGAATTTCATCCAACATTAGAACTTGTTGTTCCAATAGCTATATCGAATTAGATCAAAATACCATATACTAGACAAAAAGGAGAGTACAACTACCCTTTCAACTACATAACATTGGCCCTCTATGTTCAAGATCTCGTCTTCTGTCAAACCTTGCCTTTGAACGAGTCACAGACTGTTCCCTGCAATGATCATGATACGCAAAAACACAAACATAAATGATTGATTAGACAGATATTCACTTTTAGCAGAAGATAGATAGTCATTCAGAATCAATTAATTTATGTTTCTCTCATTTTTCAACTTTATTTTCCTTTGGGTTTAGATGATTTTCTATTTACCCTTGATTGCATCAAAGTGAAGTTTTATGCTTTCTATAGAAAATATTGAAAATGGTTGTGTAAACATGCATGTTTTTATAAATTATATTGAAAGTGCGGGGTTAATCTACATTTTCAGGTAAAAAATGGTAAATTAGGAAATAAATTAAAAAAAATGGCCAAAATAATAATAGAGTTAAAAAAATACTGCTTTTGTTTACCTATCTATGCAGGTGCAGGACTCTTATGGCTCCCCATCATTCTTCGTAGACGAGCCACATTCAGCGCAACGACCACAAAGAGCCAATCTTTCACGCCATCTAAAAATCTGAAGTAGGCATGTCTCCACGACTTCTTTATCACCAAACTACCACAAACAGCCCAAAATCCTGAAACAAATCCCAATGCCACACTAACCCACAACCACAGCATCTCAAACTCGTCTTCATTTTCATCGTCATTGTCGTTATCTTTGGGTTGACCTTGGCCTTCACCATCCCCTCCATTGGGCGTGAGACACTTGGTTGATAAAGGACCTCCACAAAGTCCTGGATTACCCTCATAAATGGCTGGATCATTGAAGGTTAGAAACTGGTTGGTCGAAGGAATTGGACCACACAAATTGTTGTGAGACAAGTTCAAATGGTTTAATGTGGTGATAGAGGACATGCTTGGAGGAATTGGACCTGAAAGATGGTTGCATGAGAGATCAAGAGTTTCCAATTTCTTTAAGCCTGCAATCTTCTCTGGTATCTTTCCTGTCAATTCATTCCTGGATAAATTTAAGGTTCCCAGGGTGGAAAGCTTTGTTATATCTTCTGGAATCTCTCCCCATAGGCTGTTGCTCGAGAGGTCGATGACATTTACAAGCTCAAGAGTGGAGGTATATTGCATTTGTCTTCCCTTCAGAAACAAATCCAACTCAGGTGTATAGAAGTAATGCCCCGGTGGAATTTGTGGACTATAAGATGTCGATGAACTCAAGTCACTCAAATTTCCGAGGCATGGTGGTATGGTACCCGATAAATTATTAAGAGCAAGGTCCAAGACATGGAAATGCGAAAGAGAACATAGTTGCTCAGGAATATTTCCGGTGAACATGTTGTCCCGCATGCGTAACTCCGACAGCAATGGAAGGCTTTCTCCAATCCATTTTGGTACATTCCCAGTAAATCTATTCTCTCCAATATCAATCAAGGTCAGGGAAATGCTGTTTTTCAATGAAGGAGAGAGTTCCCCAGAAAGACTATTGTCACCCAATTTCAAGACAGAAAGAGAAGGCAGTGAACACATTGACCTGGGAATGTTACCAGATAGATTGTTCCTGGATAAATCTATGTTTTGGAGTTCTTGCAAATCTCTCCAGTTGTCATGGATTCTTCCAGATAAATCATTGTCTGATAAATCAAGTCGATTTAAATTCTTCATCTTACCAACAGACAAAGGGATGCTACCATTAAGAAAATTCCCGGAAAGGAGAAAATATTGCAGTGATGCCATTACTTGGCCAATGTTCTTTGGGATAGGTCCTGAGAGTAAGTTGTTCCACAAGATGAGATACCACACGTTAGGCCACAGTGGGAGTGGACCCTCTAAGCGGTTCATGCTCAAATCTATCCATGTTCCTGGGGAGAACTCGAGTGAACTGGGAAGTATTCCTCCAATTTGGTTATTAGAGAGATCTAACCATTGGATCTGCGGAGACATTTTCCAAAGCCAAGAAGGAATCGGGTCTGAAATGGCAACACCAGTGAGGATTATATTAGAAAGTTGTTTCTGAGTTCTAAGCCATATTGGAAATTTTGGACCCAATCGACAGTTTCTGATTTCAATTGTTGCTAAGCTAAAGGGAGGAACCCATTCACTGCTCACGTTGAAGACAAATGTTGTGTTCGAAGATGATATGGAGAATTCTTGCAGTTTTGCAAGGCCCTGGAAAATATTTTCAGATATGAGTCCCTCCCAATTGTTCTGGCAAAGTTGCAAAATAGTTAATTTTGTAAGCTTCCCGATAGCTTGAGGGATGGACCCATTCATCTTATTGTAAGAGAGGTCCAATTCCGTCAAATTGGACAACCTTTCAATTGATGCTGGAATTGGCCCTGTGAGTAAGTTGTCATCAATTCGCAGGGATTTTAGATTCTTGAGGTGTCCCAATGTAGCTGGCAACTTCCCAGTTAGTTGATTGAAATTTAAGTGTACCTCCTGTATGCTACCGTTATTGCATGGAGATAAACCCTCGACCAATTCACTTATCTCACCACTAATCTCATTCCCATTTAAAGCTAAAGTCCGAACATTACATAGATTTCTCCATGCAATGTTGAAAATTGGACCTTTCATATGACAATTGCCAAGATTTAGTTCAACAAGGGTACTAATGTTATTCAACCATTGGGGTAATGACGAGTTGAAATGGTTGTAAGAGAGATCAATGACCGAAAGGGAGGTAAAATTCAAACTTTGTAGAGAGACAGGCAAGTGTTGAAGGTTACAACCTTGCAAGTGTAACTCTGAAAGAAAAGGAAGCATATTAAGGGCTTCCAGCCAATCAGTTCTTGCTGAACTAAGGTTAACAAAACCGAGATTAAGGTATTCCAAAGAAGATAAGCTAGAGAGCCAGTTAAAATCTCGGACCCAAATGGTTTTAAGACTCTGACTAAAGAATGGATCGGAGTAAAGATCAAGATAATGCAGGCTTGAAAGATTTCCGAGATGAGGAGGGATCATTTCACCAAAAGACGCATAAGAGAGATTAAGGTATCTCAACTTCTCAAGTGAACCCAAGAAGCCTGGGATTGGAATTCCTTGAAAATTATTCATGCTCAGGTCTAAATACTTCAGATATTTTAAGTCGAGCAAAGAAGTACTTATCTCACCACCCAAACAAGATGAAATATAAGCCTCTGCGTCACTTCTGCTTTCCATGTAACAGTCATAGTTTTTGAGGTCAAGTTGTACAACATTGCCTGTTCGGTTGCTGCAGCCTATGCCCATCCATCTACAACAATCTTCACCAACCCAGGAAGAAAGTCGATCGGAAGGATCTTTAAGATGTTCTTTGAATTTAAGAAGTGCTTTCCTTTCCATCTCTGTGCAAACCACATTGGAATTGAATCTATGGGCTTCAAGGGAAAGAGAGAGAGAAAAGACACAGAATAAAAGAAGAGAAAGATGTTGAAAGGAATTGATAGTCATCACTAGTTTTATTTGCATGAACGTTGTGCATTATAGTGGAGTAGATGACTATATATATACACGAGAAAGAGAAAGAGGAGGACGATTCCTCTTCATCTTTCCACGTCAAAAAGTGTAACGGACCGGGAGAAAAAAAAAACAAAAATTAACCGCTAAAAGAATACTATTTAAACTTAAAAATTTTATTTTATTTGCTAACATGATTCACTGTAACCTTTTGAATTAACTGAGGGTCATATCAAACGTTGAAACTTGCTCTTCATCCTATGATTTCAATGAAACTCACATTATCATGTCAGTAAATAAAGTCAAAATTTTAAATCTGAATAGCATCACTTTTAAAGATAATGCTATTGAAATACTCTATGAACTAGATTATTCTACATGCTATTGGGAAAATCCTATATGTACTCTGAAAAAATGAATAACGTCATTAAAAAGCTAATCACGTGGTATCGACGTGAAAATAAAAGAGTATTGTTATTTGAACTTAAAAAATCATATTAGACTAACATTAAGTTCTAATATTTAATGGGCCCAACATTTAATTTAAGAATCATAATGAATTAAGTCTATAAATTAAATCTCAATCAATCTTTAAAAGTTTAAAAATGTCACAAATTATCTTTCACCCTTAAAAAAACCAAACAAGCTCTTCAATCTTCCAGAATATTGAATATGACAGTGAAGGAAATGAAATTTCCAGGCAACGTCGAGTCATTCAGTGCCAATAAGGAGAGAGAAACAATTCGGCCACTGAGAGAGACAGAGGTCCCTTTCCTTTGACTACATTTACATCGCAAGTCACAAGGCTCAAAGGAAATTTGAAAATGAGGTCCAATGTGAACACGACGATGTCTGGATCCTCTTATTCATTAACACAACCGTGTCTAACGGGGATGGACTATAAACTCATTGACATGCTATGCTTTCCTACTCTGGAGTCTGGACCATCAAACTACTTCTTCACGGAGTTGAGCTAATCTGATTTCAACCTGTGTAGCATGGATTGACCCATGGGTGCATCCACATAGACATGGGTTAGTTGAATTGGATTCGGATTATCTAAATTGGATAGGTGGTGAAAATGGTAATTAGACTATGATTAGTTCATAGCAATTTGGGAGGACTTGATCACCAAAGTGGTAGAGGTTGTTGCTCTTCTCTCTATCATATCTATATAAACATTGGGGTGGATCACAATTAATTATAGAAGAATTTCAGCAAATTATTTCTTTCTTTCTCTCTCTCTTCAAGTTTTCTCTAGGACACATAGGACTATTTTTATTAATAATCAAAATTATAAAGCACCGGGAATGTAGACCTTACCCCTAAAACATAAATATAAAGTAAATGCAATTTGAAAAATGAAATTCTGAAGAAAAAGGCTCACAAATGCCTAACGAAAACAATTACTTAAAGAATGTTTTTATCAGCATAAACTTCTTCTGGGAGTAAACCAAAACGTTCTTGATTGAATCCCAAAAAATTTAAACTTTAGGAAGAATTCATTGGATTGCCAAAACTCAAACGCTGGTGGGCTTTGAAAACCTTTCCTAAAAAAAGACTCCACCAAATCTTCTTGATGGAGTACTAAAAAAAAAAACTTCTTAGTGGAATTACAAAAATAAAGTGAGATACAACAAAATCATAAAATCGTGTGAAGAGGAAGAGTGAAATATGACATATAATGTTGTAAAATGGGAAGGGGGGAGAGAAGTGAGATTAGATATTGGGCGGAAAACAAAATTTCCGAATATGATGTTGTCCTTCAAATCAAAAGATTAAACAAATTTAAACTGTTCTAACAGATTGATAAAGTTGGATATTCAAAATTCGTTCTACCTTATTGTATAAATGTATTTATTATTTAAAAAAGGAAATGGTGAAAAGATAATTCTAAAAGTTTGTATAAAAAATATGTAGATGTCCTAAACTTTTAACCGCATATCTAAAAAAAATTATCGACAAGGCATGTAAGTGTGTTACACATATACATACTTTCAAGAGTCTTAGTATTATTTGATAAGTAGGAGGGAGTTCGTCTAATTAATTGGCAAATCTTAGATGTTAAATGTCCGAGGCAGTCCGGGAAACCTAGCAATCAGCGGTTCTCTAGCTACCCGATAGTAGCCAGGAGACTTATGCGTGGTTTAGCAGTTTTGAGAAGACCCATTAAGAGGTTGAAGCGTACGAGGTCAAGTGACAAGAAAGATAAGGTGGAACGCGTGGAAAACTTGAACCCAATTGTAACTTGGCCTTTTCAGCCTCAACCTCAAGATTCTACACTGATTGCAATGGGTAACCACTAATCTGGTACAAACTCTTAAATCAGGTGACCAGATATTTCTTGTCATCCACCCATTCCACACGGCGTGGAGCAAGAAACAAATCAGGATGGCGCTCTCGCACCAAAAGGTAAATCAATAACGACAATCGTGTAAGACTAAATACGAGGAGTCCAAGCTCTAAACCCGTCATGGAGATTCTGTCAAATCACGTCAG